GCTACTAGTAGTCACGCCCTTGTTACTAGTAGCTTCTGGCTACTAGTAGTAATCCCGTCAAGTCCTAACCAGTGAAAAGTGTTCTTGCCTTCGACCCGCTGAGTTGACAGTCAAGGACAGTGCTGTTGTGTTTGAGGCCTGACCAAGAAAGACTCAAGGGAAGGTTGGATCTGGCATTCAGGGCACAGTTTCTCGTACAATGTACAATGAATCAAGCAGTCCTTCCAATAAAGCAAGACCCCCGTCGGCACCAAGGTCATTCCAGGATAAATCCAGGTGGGTGATCTCAGACTACTACAAATACTATGCACTCAAGCACGTAGCGATGTAACAATGCCATTCCGATCCGCTTAGGTCATTGCTGTTGTATTGGCTGCAAGCAACTCACCAACATACTTGGCTCCCACGTTGTTGATGCGGTTATTGCGCAAATCCACATGGCCAATTGTAAGGTTGGACCTCTCTCAAATGAATCGGATGCTTGGATTGTTTCAAGCAAGAGAAACAAAGTCTAACCCAGCAAGAAGGGGGCTCACTTCAGAACTTCGCAAAGAGCTTGCAAGCCGCTCGGATCTTTGCCGATTGCGTTCCTTGAATGCCAGGAGCACAGTTGCGCGGGCGTTTAGAACGTTTCATGTCTCCCTTAAGGCCTGATCCATTTCAAATTCAGGCTCCGCAACGATCGGTTTATCTTAACGCCATTTGCAAGAGCCATCGCTCCTTTGGCCTCAACGGGAAGACCAAAGCAGCAAACAACATGTCAACAGCAACCAACCTGGATGTTGTTTCCTCGGAGGTCCAAATACCTTGGCAATGACATCCATTCCTCTCCCGACCCCGAAACCGGAAAGCACAGTTGTAGTTGTAGCAATTAGCTTTAGCCTCTGTCAGGGTTCAAATTGTTCATATTCCGATACTCCTCCTATATATGTGTACTATTACACTAATTATTTGTATGAAACATATGGTTCACCATATCTTTCACCACTGAACCCCGACATAGACCACCCTCATACAAAAATACCTAAACAGCAACAAAAACAACCACGACAACAACCATGACAGCGACAGCGACAGCGACAACGACAACCACAACCACAACCACAACGACAACCACGACAACGACAACGACAACGACCACCACCACCACCACAACAACAACAACGACAACGACAACAACAACCACCACAACAACAATAAAGCAATTACCAAGAACACAACCGAACACAACAATACAACTAAACTCAAAGAACATAGAAAATTCTATTCGCTGTGGCAAGAAGGTAGCCACTAGCCGCTAGCCCCAGATGCAACCGAAGTCAATATCTGCGACAGTTGTGTTGACACAACCATCAGCTATGAGGCGAAGATTGAATGGGACAAGACTGTCGAAGAGACCCTTGAGGGCAGGATATGAAGGGCTACAAAAGCTATTTTCACCCAAATCCAGTCACCAAAATCCATCCTTTTGAACGCGAGCTGGATTTTGATTAAGTGCCCGTCTCTGACCCTAATATTACTGTCCGTGATGTTTTCGGCACTGCCTTCACTTCTGTCAGCATGGAGGCGGAAGGCAGAGTTGAAGAATGGTGATGCCCATTACATCCCCCTCAATGAAACAAAGAAGCCAAGCCAGGCTGTGCATACCAAACGCCCGTTGGCTGAAGGAAGTGCTTGCTTGATCACAAAAGGCAGTGACCTTTTAGAGGAGTTTGGTGAAACCCTTGGTGTGGATGACTCGGAATCAAGCTGGGCATCAGGCGGTTATAAAATGGAGAGCACTACGACACACTGTGGTCGTATTTAACGGATCACATTACCAACTTTTGCAATAGCCAAACAAACAAAGCTGAAGATGAACAAGCTTGAAGACCTCAAGAAAATGCTGGTCTCACAGGACAGTGCAGTAGGCAGTGAGGGCGATGCGTGTCACACAGCTTTGCGCATCCAGCTCAACGACTTTGGGCAAAGGGTCGAACAGAATGCAGTTGGCTGAGGCATTGCGGCATTCCGTGAGCTGCTCAGGACCATTGCGTCCATTTTCTGAAGGCGCGAATAGCTGGAGGACCGGATAAGACTGATAAGAAGACCATTGCTACGATGACGACCTTGATGCTGTGTGCCTACACAAGTGCAGGAGCTGGCGAGTTCAAAATATCACATCAGCAAAATTGCGAATCCCGGATGAATTCCGTTTCAACTTGTTGGGTGCTCAAATGGCGTCTGCTACGACACCTGCTCGCAATGCTGATGTGGCTGTAGATTATAGAAATCCACAATTCAGATTGTAGATTGTAGAAATCCATAATCGAACATATAGATTGATTGCGCCCTTTGTATTCTGGGGTAGGCTGGCGGTATGAGAAGACTATAGCACAGCCTTGCAAACAAATGTGAGTTGTACTGTTGTGTTTGCTGGCAATTAGAACGAGAAATGCATGTCTCCCTGCATCCGCTTTGGACTGCTCTGCCCATCATCACGGTGGAAACTGCATAACCAGTTCAGGCCCTGGACCACGTAGGGCGCTACAAAGGGTTCACTCCGGGCTCTCACAACAAGTACAACAAGTGAGAAACACACTCAAAACAAAATACATATGGTCTGAATGCGCCACCCCAAAAGGCTTGAGTGAGAGAGGTTCCTGGGTACACTAAGTAAAGCTCAAAAGTGGGTTCGACAATCGAAGGATCAAGGTTGGAAATGTACAAATGATAGCAAATCCGCCCGCCCCGAAGGTGCTCAGGGCGTGATCATCCGAATGGCATAAACACATGTAAGGTACAGGTTTACTTTGGGGGTGCGTTTTTGGGCCAAAACAATGGGTTTTTGATACATCGCGACGGCGGACTTCAAAAAACACGGTTTTTTACAGCACGGAATGGACTAGTTCGTGCATGCGCCCGCCCGGAACCAGCAAAAGAAAAGTTAAGTTTTTTGATTTTTGGTCTTCGATTTTCGGTTTTGAAACGTGTTCTTTTCCATGTGTCTTGTTGGGAGGCCGGGGGGCGCGTTGCCCAAATCACCGCTATTTACAGTGCTTTTGAGCCTGCTGTCAAAAAACACCGCAAATTGTGACGTTTTCAACAACATGGTCGCCAAAAACACTGCTACTTGCAAGGTTTTTCGCATTTTCGCGCAAAGACGTCAAGCCTCGGCAATGTCCAAAAACACTGCAAAAA